GAGAACAGGAAACCAAACCAAATATGGGAATAAGGAAACACGAGGGAGAACTAGAACTTGGGGAACAAAACACAAGAGACAGGAACACAGGCCTGACAGTACCATGGTGCAGTATTTTTCTCTGTAACCTTTTTTAAACTGATGGGTGCGACAGTATCTAATGAGAAGACTGTACCCATATTGCTAGTCCTTTCATCTAGTTCTTTTGTGTCTATGGGAACACTGAGCAGCTGAGACAGATCAGGATCTATCTTTAGTGGTTGGGATAAATGTTCTACCTAGAACAGGGGTAGGCAAGTTCGGTCCTAGAGAGCCGCAGTCCTGCAGAGTTCAGCTCCAACCCTAATCAGACACACCTGAACAAGCTAATCAATGTTTTTAGGATTACTAAGGCTATAGGCAGGTGAGTTTTTTTTCAGGGGTGGAGCTGAACTCCGCAGGACTGCGGCTCTCTATGACTGAACTTGCCTACCCCTGACCTAGACAATAACGCGGAGCGATATGACAAATATCAGCAGTATTAAGTACGTTACAAGGTAGTGGTCAGTGACATCATCACTATGCTGTGTAACGTCTATATCAGTAAGATTGGTTCCATGTGATATAATTAAATATGATTAAGATGGTGAGTGGGTCTAGTGACATTTTGCTTGACCCCAAATGAGTTTAGTAAATCTGTAAACGCAACCCCTAATGCATCATTTTTATTATCAATGTGAATGTTAAAATCTCCGACAATCAACACTTTATCAACACTGATCAGTACGTCTGAGAGAAAATCTGCAAACTCTTTTAGAAAATCAACATAGGGCCCTGAGGTCTATACACATTAGCCAAAATGAAAGATAGCAGGGATTTTTTCTTCTTCTATCTGTAAGCATAATATTTAGCACTAGCACTTCAAATTAGTTAAACCTGTGTCCTGTTTTCTGAGTAGCATTAAGAATATCTCTATATATTGTTGTGTCACTGCAGCCACGACCAATCAGACGGGGCTCATGCTTATAACAGTAGCCTGGAGGAGTAGACTCATTTAGACCAAAATAATCATTTGGTTTAAGCCAGGTTTCAGTATGGCAGAGTACATCAAAACTATTATCTGTGATCATTTCGTTTACAATAATCACCTTAGGTGTGAGTGATCTAAGGTTTAAGAGCCCGAGCTTTAGAAATAATTGTTGTTCACTTAATTTGTGATTTTCTGGTTTAATCACGATCAGATTTTTTCTAGATCCTATAGCCTAATAGATGTATTATTTGAGCTCATTATTATTCGGGCAATAGACACAGTCTCTATCGAATGGACTACTATCAATGAAGTTGGTAGAACAACAATGACTTTGATTTGAGGTTTGACTTACTAATCATATGGTGCATAGGATCTTGATGTAACAGATGTGATAACAGAAAATTTAAAGCTGAGTTTACATATCTGAAATGATCTGATTTTACCTAGCTAAAAAAAACTAAAAATAAAAATAATAACTTGTATTTCCGTCTTCTAATTTCTGTCTTCAAACACAGCTAACAGGAAATGTTCAACTGTACCCGTACCAAAAAGTAGTATACTTTAAGTATATTTTAAGTATACTTTATGTTGTAAGTATACAAATATCAGTGTACTAGTAGTATACTTGTAAGTGTACTAATTTAGGATTACTAAGGCTATAGGCAGGTGAGTTTTTTTTCAGGGTTGGAGCTGAACTCCGCAGGACTGCGGCTCTCTAGGACTGAACTTGCCTACCCCTGACCTAGACAATAACGCGGAGCGATATGACAAATATCAGCAGTATTAAGTACGTTACAAGGTAGTGGTCAGTGACATCATCACTATGCTGTGTAACGTCTATATCAGTAAGATTGGTTCCATGTGATATAATTAAATATGATTAAGATGGTGAGTGGGTCTAGTGACATTTTGCTTGACCCCAAATGAGTTTAGTAAATCTGTAAACGCAACCCCTAATGCATCATTTTTATTATCAATGTGAATGTTAAAATCTCCGACAATCAACACTTTATCAACACTGATCAGTACGTCTGAGAGAAAATCTGCAAACTCTTTTAGAAAATCAACATAGGGCCCTGAGGTCTATACACATTAGCCAAAATGAAAGATAGCAGGGATTTTTTCTTCTTCTATCTGTAAGCATAATATTTAGCACTAGCACTTCAAATTAGTTAAACCTGTGTCCTGTTTTCTGAGTAGCATTAAGAATATCTCTATATATTGTTGTGTCACTGCAGCCACGACCAATCAGACGGGGCTCATGCTTATAACAGTAGCCTGGAGGAGTAGACTCATTTAGACCAAAATAATCATTTGGTTTAAGCCAGGTTTCAGTATGGCAGAGTACATCAAAACTATTATCTGTGATCATTTCGTTTACAATAATCACCTTAGGTGTGAGTGATCTAAGGTTTAAGAGCCCGAGCTTTAGAAATAATTGTTGTTCACTTAATTTGTGATTTTCTGGTTTAATCACGATCAGATTTTTTCTAGATCCTATAGCCTAATAGATGTATTATTTGAGCTCATTATTATTCGGGCAATAGACACAGTCTCTATCGAATGGACTACTATCAATGAAGTTGGTAGAACAACAATGACTTTGATTTGAGGTTTGACTTACTAATCATATGGTGCATAGGATCTTGATGTAACAGATGTGATAACAGAAAATTTAAAGCTGAGTTTACATATCTGAAATGATCTGATTTTACCTAGCTAAAAAAAACTAAAAATAAAAATAATAACTTGTATTTCCGTCTTCTAATTTCTGTCTTCAAACACAGCTAACAGGAAATGTTCAACTGTACCCGTACCAAAAAGTAGTATACTTTAAGTATATTTTAAGTATACTTTATGTTGTAAGTATACAAATATCAGTGTACTAGTAGTATACTTGTAAGTGTACTAATTCAGTACTCCTTGGGACTAAATTGGCCCACTTTCTAGTATACTTAAAAGTATACTTTTAAGTATACTTGAAGTATAACAGTAGTAAACTTTGAGTACACAACTAGTTTACATCAAAATGTTTAGTTTGTACTGCAACTATACATGAAAAAAAAGGCTATGAATTGGCTTCAGAATGATAATCAAAACATAGATAGAGTCGATCAACACCCCAAAGCTTGACAGTCATTATTACCTCTTCATTGGTCGACATTTTATTCCATAACGTTACTCAGTTTTGATGCTGTTTTATGTCTGATGATCTTGTTAGATTACATGTGGAAGCATCTGTTGTTTCGGTTTCTTCTTCACTTGTGGTTTTTGGAAATTCTGTACAGAAGATGTGTACTAACACCCCCTACCGTATAACAATGAAAACACGGATTCTAGGAGCACAAGTATACAGTAGCTACAGTAGACTTTTTCTAAGTATAAGTCAAGAAGTACATAAAGTCCATTTCTGAGAAGTACATACAAAGTAGACTCAAAGTATACTTTCCTATTTTTTTGTTTAAAAGAAGTATACTGATAGCACACTTGAATACACTTCTTTTTCGTAAGGGTAGATAACATTGTGGCAAGGTTCTCAAAATACTGGACAAACATTATTCCAGTAACGTTAATAGAACGATTGTTCAAAGTTATGAGGTCTTTAATAGGCCTAATGTTCTCAAAATGTTAGCAAAAAATATTATTTATACATCGTCCATGGAACATTTTGTCTGAAACGTTTTGGTTAAACGTGCGACTAACATTTTTAAAATGTAACTACGCATTTCAAAATCTTTCCTGAATCGAATCGAACACGCTGGCTACTCAAAGATTCACACACCTACCCGCAAGCACTCGTCTATAAATGAATCGTTTTGGTGAACTCATTTAAAGAGGTCATATGATGCGATTTCAAGTCGTTCTTTCTCTGTGGAGTGTTACAAGCTGTTCGTGAATAGATAAGATCCCTAAAGTTGCAAAGACTAAAGTCTCAAACCCAAAGAGATATTCTTTATAAAAGTTAAGACTCGTCCACGCCCTCCTAAAACGCCTCGTTCAAACACGCCCCCACATGTCTACCTCACTATGTGGGAAGATTTGCATAACTCCGCCCAAATGTTCACGCAAAGAAAGAAGGCGAACATTTTTGATTCAATTCTCAACTGTTTTGTTGTGAAAGCGAAACTACTTTGTTTGGCTTTCCAAAAGAGGACACAACTAGCAATCAGTGGTTAAGTTGTATTTACAACACTGTTCCAGAACACTTCAACCCAAATATTCAGATGTGTGCAGCGCACAGCCAATCACAACGCACTGGATAGCTGGCCAATCAGAGCACACCTCGCTTTTCTTTTTTTCCTTTTTATTAATGCCAAGGTACCAAATATAAAAATATAGAGAATATCAACATTACATACAAAGAAGCGACATTACATGCAAAGCACCATTTATAGATGTATGTAACAATAAATAAACAATACAAAATGAAAGATTTAACCAAATAAATCACACCTCGCTTTTCAGACCGATGAGCTTTGTAAAAATCTATGTGTTTCAGAAAGGCGGGGCATAGAGGAGAAACAATAATGTACAGTATGTGGAAAATAATGTGTTTTTTTAACCTTAAACCGCATAAACACATTTCATTACACCAAATACACCAAATAATGTTCTTTTTTAGCAATGTCATATGACCCCTTTAAAAGATTCTAAACTCTGAATCAGAATCCCCACCCATCATATGCTCCACCAAAAGATTTAGCTGGTAACACATTATAGATCGCATGTCGAGTCTATTCGCTGTTGCCCGATTGAAAACCCGTCCATTATTCGCATCAAAAATGTTTATTTGGATCTAGATGACAAAAGGAATACACATTCGTCATATTCTGCTATTTTAGACCTGTTTACGCTATCATTACTCAAATGTATTTTATGAACCTCCGAATGGCACGCCTCGGGCACGCAGAGGACAGCTAAAGCTCGCAGCCGTATATTTTGGGGTCCTTCAGCCTCAGACTGCTGCTTTCTGAGGACAGCATCTTCGTCAATGGCGGATTACGATAACTACGATGACCGGGACCGGGCTTACGGGAGCTTCGGCGGGGGGAGAGGGTAAGGAAGCCTGCATGAGAGGAGCGGGGAGGCGTGCGTCTGAGCGTGTGTGGCGGGAGGCTGCGGGTGTGTGAGCGCAGGCTTGCGGGGGATCGAGCGGGTGTAGGCCGCGCAGCAGCGACGCGCTCGCGCTGTGATGAATGAAGGCCGGGCTCGAAACTCAGCCCACATGGGCTTCATGTCTCACGGCCGACTCCGCATTGCGGTGTCCGCAGACGCCATGTAAAACATTCCTGCTCGCTGGTCTCTGCTGAATATAGTTACTGATGTCAGAAGTGGTTTGAACGATGAGTGCGGCGGCGTGTTGTCGTGTTTAACACGGTCTGCACTGGGCCTCGATCAGGGCTTTGACTCCAGCTATATTCCCCTGCTGTTTTGAACCCCACTGCATTGCTGCTCATGAGTGGAATTGTTCTCATTCCACAAAAATACCGCGGCACTTCCATCTTTCTGGACGTGCGAAATGCCACGCAGATGAAAACGATCACGTCCATACACAGTCATATTTTTTTTTTTTAGCTCGCGCTGTTCTCGGATCAGCAGCGCAAGTCAATATCCACTATGATAAACTGGGTTTATTGTGTTTTCCGACCCTCAGATCGAGCTGATGGCATGCACATGTTTCAGATGGCTTTATTTGCATACAGGCGCGCTGTCTCTCTCTCACATGCGTGGCATTGATCATTTATTGCATATAGAAACAGAAAGTGCGTGCTTGTTTGATGTGTGGAAACCTGGCAAAACGAGTCCTGTTTTGCACTTCAGGCTTCCCTGGCCATAATGCATTATTGCTAATGAGCAAACAAACACGCAAAAAAATGAGAAGCGTTGTAAAGTAATGTGCGGTCATGCTGTAGCTCACGCGCACACGTTCAGTCACTCACACAGATCGCACTGTGCGCAAAGACAGACTTGTACTGCGTTTGAAGCCTCACTGCTGATGGAGAAACGCAGCAAAGCTAGAGGTAATTCATGCATGCATGTGTTTTGATATCAGGCAACCCTACAGCCCTCTCATCTGTGTATCAGTGTACCATGGTATTTCCATCTGGTCACTAACCCGACACAGTGCTGTCACGTGGGTTTTTGGGGTTGATGAATGTTTCTGTGCCAGTAGCAGTCATGTATCACTTGCTGCGCACAGCACAGGTCTGAAAACACCAGCCGTGCAGAGATGTCATCCTATACGCTCGGCTCAGGCCTCCGTCTGACACCAGAGGAATGTCCCCAGTACACTGGATCCCTGCAGAAGATTTGCTTTGCATGGGATTTAATCTGCTATTACAGACAGAAAATAAATTAAAGGGGTCATATGATGCTTTTTTTAAAGATCATTATTTGGTGTAACAGAATATGTTGACATGCTTTAATGTTTAAAAAACACATTTTTCAAATACTGTAGATTATTGTAGGTCCTCTATGCCCCGCCTCTCTCAAACGCTTCGTTTTCTACAAAGTCCCTCCTTCCGACAAGCGCAGTCTGCTCTGATTGGCCAGCTGACCCAGTGCATTGTGATTGGCCGAACACCACAAGCACTCGTCGGAAATGTAACGCCGCTTACCATAATCGTGAGCTTCAGCTTTCAAAATAAATGTAAAGACAGAGCCTGAAAGGGGAACAGAGTCGCGTGACAGACACAGTGATGAAGCTGGTATGTGTTTGCAGTACACAAGCCACGGTTAAGACAGCTGGCTCCACTGTGATGTGACCCTGTCTCTCCCTCTCTCTCTCGCGCTCTTTTGCTCTCGCGTGCTCACACACACACACACACACACACAAACACACACGATGCGCAAATTGACCCCTTTAAGCAGATGCTTTCTACAATATTTCTGTCCAAGGCACGTTTTGCGTCTGTCCTACACTTTGTTACCAATGTGTGGGCCAAGCCAATATGATATTTGGGGATTTTTTAGAATATCGGAATCATCTCATAACTGTCCAGTGTGCAGACTAACAGAAGTGATTGCACATCCTCATGCCAGTTATATACAGACAGCCGTGTCAACATATAATGCTCATTTTTAGTTTCAGACCTATATTTTGTAAAAACGTTGACGTGGAAAAGTGCTTAGCACCTCATCAGGGTCTAAACCAGAGGTGCCCAAACTTTTTCTTATGAAGGGCCAAAAATCAAACTTGGCTGTGGACCGAAAATAAGAATTGCATTATAGCAAACTATATTATATTTAAAGTTTCCATGGTTTCCATCATTTATGAGTTTGTAATATTTAAAAATGAATTCATAAAAAGAAAACATTACTCTGCAATCTGCGTAACTAATGCAGTTTTATTGTTCAGTGAAAACATAGAAACAATCACATGCATAGTACAGTAGAGTTCAATGCCTAAAACAGCTATTCAAGAAAAAAAGCAGTGCAGCCGTACGCTTGCAAAATCAGTGACCTCTAATGAGAGACATGAAGCAAGTACTTATTTTTCAAATGATTTCCAAATCGGCCTGCAGCTGAATTACTGACAAAGTCAGGATATTATGTAGGTAATAGTCCATTAGTTTGCTTCTCATTTTACACTTGTTCAAGTAAATAAAACTGAAAGTTTGTTAACAGAGGAAGGTACGGCCAAACAGAAATAATATCACTTGCGCTTGTTTGCACAGGAATTTCGTCAGGAAATTTAGCTGACAGTGATTTCGAGTGGATCAATCATGATATTAACGCATTATTATTATGCTGCTATATAAAGAGGCGTTCCAAACGTGCTGATATTTCAGCAGTATCAGCTAGGGCTGCCACGATTCGTCAATACTATTCGATAAAAAAAACAAATCCTCGACTTCATTTTGCCTGCGTCGACTAACCGGCAAAATACCGGAAGTGGTGCATTTCACGGACGAGAATCCATAAAACAAATTATTAGACCGTTTCGCAAGGCTGCATGATATATTAAACCTATTTAAAAATTAAAATTAAGCATAACCGTGAATGCACAAATGCTACGATTTAATTAAATAATTATGTGATGTAGGCGTGTAGGTTACGTACGTGTCTCACAGCGGCTCCGTTCACAGTAAATGCTGTTCCACAGGAACTGTTATCATTTACGTGTGTGTGGAGCGGCTCAAACTCCATCTGTGCATGTTGTTGTGAGTTTGGGTTTATTATAACATTCATCTGGGAACGCAACGTGCGCCATTTCATCAGATTTGTTAGGTAAATCATTTATAAATCCATGCAAACACAGGAGAATACGTCATCTCGCGGATTCAAAATAAAAGCTCAAACCCTCACTCTTGAGTTTACACGTTTTGATGTCCACATATTCATTAAATTACAGTGGCTATAGCATTTCTGTCGTAAAGAAATGGGCAAATATGAAAGATTAAGTGGACATTTGAATTAAATGATGCTTGGTAAATATTAACCAAGTTTTAGATCGCACAGTAATGTGTAAAAACAATCGTCAGGCCGTTGGCGCCCCCTTCAGGCCTTTGTTGTAATGTGTACTGTACATTAGCTCTATTCACTGATCTATAATCGAGATTATATTATTTTATAATTATGTATAGATCAGTGGCTCTATTACATTATGATACAGTATTTTAACAGTTTTGTTCAATAAAACCATATGATTTATTGCTTTTGATACTATATTTGAACAAATTATTATTGCCTCATTGCTATTATATGTATTTTAAGTAAATTTAAAGGCTATTATTCACTTAACCTACATCTATTTTTATTACCTCAAAAAATATTAATTATATTTTATTATTAGTAGACCAGAACATGTGGACATGTTGTCATTCTTACACTATAATACTGAACTTTGATTTCAGTGATTTGGACTATGAGATGCACTTTACTCTTGCTTTAAAAAAGAATTTCATAGAAATTTGGATTTCATTTGGAGTTTCACTACTGAAGTCCCTGTTCATTTTTTTCAATAGATGTCTGTTTAAATCTCTTGTTTACACATTTCTAAGAGTACTTCTAATACTTAACATTTTTAATAATAATAACTTTTAATAATACAATTTGAATACTTGATTCTAGTGGACTCTAAACATTGCATTTATTTAATGTGAAAACCCAACTGTTGGGGTTAATTGAAACATATTTTTTCCCCTTTGTAGTTGCACTCACAGCTGCAATGAACAGAAGCCCAGAACATGTGGATATATTGACATTAAGAACATGCTGACTTTCTCAGACTTTTGTAATTATTATTTTTTTATTTCATTTTTATTAGGTTTGTTTACATTTTTACTCTTTTAGTTTTACATTTCGTCAATGACTTGTTTACATTTATACTTTTTTATGGTACACTACTGAAGGGCAAAGTTGCAAGTTTAATAAAATATTTTCTTTAATTTTCATTTTTTTGTGGGCAAGTAATCATTTAGATAAATCGATAAATTACTCGATTGATTAATCGAAATAAAAATAGTAGTTAGTGTCAGCCCTAGTATCAGCACTAGGACTGTCAGTCAATGCAGTTACATTGTTACACCAGTAGGTGGCGGCAAGGAATGATCTTCATGAGTAGTCATCATTAAACCGGTCAGTTCATTCAACTAATATGCATAAAAACACTGATTCATTCATGAATGAAACATGGTGTTGAAATTAATTTAACTTTGAATGCCACTTTGTAAGGCTCAATCAACGATCAACGCGTTATCTGGGTAAAGCTGAAGCTGATGTTTCATTTCATAGAAAACAGTGCCATTGATTCAAAGCATTGAACAGAACTGAGGCCAAAATCCCCTTAAACACTGAAAGGATGCTATGGCAAAGATATCGCTTTCATCTTCTGACGACTGAAGGCAAACTGTTTTACTAATATGACTTGAAATGTATGTAAAACACAAATTAAATGACTTTAAAACACTGAAACATTGAAACACTAATTTCTGCATTATTTCTGCAGTTGTAATTGAACTGTGTAAAAGCGTTTTTTCATCTCCAAGCAGCAATAATGCACCTAAAACCGGGCTCACACTGTGCAAAGTCCTTTAAGATTGTACTTGTCAGACTGTATGAACATGATGATCATGCCACACTGTGGGATCTCAGTTGTCATTAATGTCAGACTGTACGACAGTTAATGCCAGTTAAGACTGGGTGCGCGCAAGAAAACTTGTCCGGAGTTTTACCTTATCAACCCATACACGTTCAGTGACTGCAAGCTGCATTGCACGTAGGCTGTAATGTTGGCTATCATTAAAAGTATGTGAATGGCGGCAATGCCAGTGTATTTAAGAAGAATAGTATAGGAGCACTACACACCCACATGAAAACAGCAGCGCAACCTGTGTTTATCATAGCAAAGGCAACGAATCAGATGAATTCCGTGAGCGGAAGACGAGAGCGCCAGAGTTTATGCGGTTAGAAGAAATCTCTAGCAATAATTCTGATCATGGCTTGTCTTGAAAAACGAAAACAGTTTGGCGTTCGTCGTAGGAGAAGTCACACTGCAGGACTGTGCGCCAAATCATCTGACACTGCCAGAATTTCGTCGATCACAATGGCCATTAATCGGCTGTCGGTGAACATGTCAAACTAACGATCAAAGACTGCAGATTTTAGCCTAGGATTATAGGAATCATTTAGGAATTTCAAAATTTGTCTCAGGTGACCAAATTAAGGCCAAAATCGCACCGTGTGAGCTGGGCTTAAAAAACACTTCAAGTGCAGTTAATGTACCACCTCTGTAATAGTAAAATGGGTTTGTTGATATCGATTAGCCTGTGTCTTGGTATTGCAATTAAATTTAATTAAATGTAACAATTTCACATGTAAATGCAAAATAAACATGTATCAGAAGCATATACTATAAAAAAAAAAAAAGGAGGGTCTATGGGATTGATTCCCTTTTGGAGCCAGTCTCTAGCGGCCAGTCGATGAATTGCAGTTTAAGTCACTTCCGTGTTGGTTTCCAGAGAGAGACCGGAAGGTTGCCTGTACGACAGTTAATGCCAGTTAAGACTGGGTGCGCGCAAGAAAACTTGTCCGGAGTTTTACCTTATCAACCCATACACGTTCAGTGACTGCAAGCTGCATTGCACGTAGGCTGTAATGTTGGCTATCATTAAAAGTATGTGAATGGCGGCAATGCCAGTGTATTTAAGAAGAATAGTATAGGAGCACTACACACCCACATGAAAACAGCAGCGCAACCTGTGTTTATCATAGCAAAGGCAACGAATCAGATGAATTCCGTGAGCGGAAGACGAGAGCGCCAGAGTTTATGCGGTTAGAAGAAATCTCTAGCAATAATTCTGATCATGGCTTGTCTTGAAAAACGAAAACAGTTTGGCGTTCGTCGTAGGAGAAGTCACACTGCAGGACTGTGCGCCAAATCATCTGACACTGCCAGAATTTCGTCGATCACAATGGCCATTAATCGGCTGTCGGTGAACATGTCAAACTAACGATCAAAGACTGCAGATTTTAGCCTAGGATTATAGGAATCATTTAGGAATTTCAAAATTTGTCTCAGGTGACCAAATTAAGGCCAAAATCGCACCGTGTGAGCTGGGCTTAAAAAACAGTTCAAGTGCAGTTAATGTACCACCTCTGTAATAGTAAAATGGGTTTGTTGATATCGATTAGCCTGTGTCTTGGTATTGCAATTAAATTTAATTAAATGTAACAATTTCACATGTAAATGCAAAATAAACATGTATCAGAAGCATATACTATAAAAAAAAAAAAAGGAGGGTCTATGGGATTGATTCCCTTTTGGAGCCAGTCTCTAGCGGCCAGTCGATGAATTGCAGTTTAAGTCACTTCCGTGTTGGTTTCCAGAGAGAGACCGGAAGGTTGCCGCTTGATCAGAAGCAAGGTTTTTGTACCACAGATGAATGTGAGCTCACTTAATATCGCACACGTCTGATTCAGACACTCGGAAGGGAAAACTCCCAGTGCGTCCTTCCATCCATCACTGCGGCTCAGCCATGACTCTCATGCCTATTCTTGTGTTTGTGAGGCTTTTTCGGGATGTTACGTATGACGCAAAACCACCAGAAGTGAGAGTGGTCAATTGGTGAGATGCATGGTAGATGTTCGAAAGCACATACACGCATCTGTTAACCAGCTGAGTGGTCATGGTGGGCGTTATTAGTCAGTATATGTGTCTTTTATTTGCTGTGTTTGAGTCCTGCTGGACTCCGACGTCTTGATCAATCTTTTACCTGCGTGTTGAGGTGTAGAGCTGATCAGGTTGTTTGTTTTTGGGCCGCTTTAAGGAAATGAATGCTTTTATTCAACAAGGATACATTAAATTGATCAGAAGTGACAAAGATTTTTTTTTAAATTGTTACAAAAGATTTCCAGAACTTTCTATTCAGCAGAGAATCAAAACAAAAGCTCCACAAAAATATGAAGCAGCACAACTGTGTGCAACATTAATGATGAATGCTGAATGTTTCCTGAGCACCAAATCAGCACGTTATGTTTTCTGAAGGATCATGTGATGCGAAAGACTGGATACATTTTTAAATGTATTAAAATAGAAAAATTATTGTAAATTATATTTCCCACTAGTATTGTTTTTACTGTATTTTTAATCATATTACATGCAGCGTAGGCAAGCATAAGGGTCTTCATTCAGAACTATTTAACAATCTTACCAACCACAAACTTTTGAGCGCTAGTGTACTGTTTGATATATTGTGTGTTAAGTGTGAACTTCTTCTGCAGCTGCTAGGGGACCGATCTTTGAGGGTGGATATCGCGGAGGGCCGAAAGCAAGAACGTGGCGCCGGAGGCTTCGGCTTCCGGAAAGACGACAGAGGTACTGTGTGTGTGCCAATATATCAAAATATCATTCATTCGTTCATAAGCACAATCTTTTTTATCTTGTGCTTCTATTAGTGCCGTTTACTCGCATTTTAGTCGTGTAGTAGTAGTTTGTCTGTTGATGTATGTTGCTTGTGTTGTCTTTCAAATTTTGTGGTCTTTATAGTCTCAGAAATGAGCAATGCTAGGGATGGGTGGTCCGATTTTCTATACATTACAGCTGTATAAGGTTTTCCAGAGATGAAGGCATGACGTTTCTGTTTTCTGAAGTTTTTTTTAAAGGTCCCATATTGTCAAAACTGAAATTTCCTGGCTTTTTTCACGATTACTGAGGTCTAGGGGCTATGTAACTACCATATAAGTTTCAAAACAGTCAGTCCACAGTAAAATACACACAGCCTGCTTAAAGTAGCTGTGATTTTTCATGAACCGTTGTGACTTTCGTAAAAAGTTGACATCAGAACTACACAGTCACCGCTTTCAGTCACCACCCCGAGCACCGCCCACCGTCCCACTCTCCTTTTGCCAAACCCCCAGACAACATCGCGTCCATGCCATTGCT